AATAGCAGTTATCCAATAAAAACAAGTCAAAATGGTAACATCTAGTAAAGCTTTCAGCCTTGCGGTTGAATGCCGAAATCGGCTAACCGGTTCATCACGTTATACGTGTGAATGCTGATAAGCTATGGTAACTTCACCATCGAAGCTGAGTTGGGGTGAAATGGTGCCCCGGTGGTGTAACTGGTAGCACAATTGCCCGGAAAGCAAGAGATCCGGGTACGAATCCCGGCTGGGGCGAAAGTTTTGCCCACAACTCAGCATTCTTGTGATAACTTTCGCAACGCGAACTGCGGCGTAAAACAGCAGTATAACAATCAAAACATGCTCAGGTAAAGTTTTCCACTTGCTCTATTTATTAACAGCTGTTTTTTCACTACGATCATGATGCAAAAGTTATCACGCGGATGTCGAATTATAACACAGAACCGAGCTTAGCTCCAGCTGGGGTGTTCGTCCCAGCGTCCTAACCAGAAAAGCGTCCTACCCTGCTCTACACCCTTATAATAACTGTTCTAATTAGCTGACGATTGAAAAATGGAAAAATGAAGCCTACCAATTCTGCCTCGCCCACTCAAGAAGATCGTCGCATCCAAACATTGTATGCTTGAAAGCATCCACACCGGCCTTCTGGGCCGATTCTGGATTAATCTCGCGCCGTAGTTGAACAATATCTCGAGAGACAACGCAAATCTACAAAAGGATAGTACTTACTAAGCAGGCTACTATGTCCTGTTGATAGTCAACAGACTTACTAGGAACATCCAATCCAGACAACCAGCAGTAGAGAACCAAGACATCAGATGCGACATTTGTGCTAGGCTTTCCGCTGATCCTTTATTGGATGTTTCCCCCACAAGCAACTTCAAGCCTTTAAATTCAACTGTCATTCCGTGCAAATACAGATGCGAAAGCAACAACAAACCGTGCCAATCACTTCCTATACTTCCTCGAGTCGATGTTGTCAATTGTGCTACTACAAGGCGACCCCAATACTGATCCGGGTGGGGCATTATTGCTGCCTAAAAATGAACAATTGCATTTCAAAAAAGACAAATCAAGACAAATTGTTGAACATGTTTTTCTTTGACCGATTCTCTTTTGATTTTTAATGACGCAATTTTAAGAACTGTGAGAAGCGTTAAAAACAAGCTGACTTAAAGGCAAGGGTCGTGATCAAGTAGAGGATATTTTTGCGCTCGAAGGTGAGAGCCAATGCCAAATGGAATTCCCAGGGCAGAAAACTGGAGGAAACTGTCAATAAGACCGAAAATGAAACACTCCTCCCGCAATCAGCCAGCAGAGGAAGCTGGACCGAGAGGGAGGCCGTGCTCGAACAAGTCTTCCTGTCATGCAGCCATCGCTGGCTTCTACGCACCAGTACGATGCCGGTAAGTCAAAGCACCTACACCGTTCTAATTTCAACAAGAAAGCAACATCAACGTATGTTCAAGCCTATGTCAGCCACTCACCACCGGCGCAATAGGCGGTCATAGTCTATGCCAATCGCCCAAAATTCAAGGCCGCGGCTTTACTACCACGCAGTTTCGAGTCACAAACGTGGCACAACCTCTGTGATTCCAGACCCAACTACATCAATAAGGTAGATCCGTTGACCGCCTAATCCCGATCCGTGCCTTTAATTAGATATGAGCATGCGATACCGCAAAGAAGTAGCCGACTTCAGGACAGTGATTCGTACATGGGAAGTTTCGTCAAAAGTTCAGCATTCTGTTGCCGTGGTCTCGTACAGCCTATTGGAATTCCATCTTTAATGAATTCTGGGCAGAATTAAATTCCCTTCCAACACAATTTTATTCATTGATCGATGGCAATCTGTGCATTCTTATAAAAACTGCACAAGCTCTTACACAGAGTTTTATGATACCAATTTTATAAATAACGCCAAGATTTGGTAATCACTATAGAAAGACAACAGAACAGATATCTGTGCAATGATAGCTCAGCATTATTTCCATTGCTTTTTGTTCTTCGCACCACCTAGTCAATTATACAGTAAACCAAACCATAAGTTAAAGGAAGCGATCACGCTGGCTTCCACGCTGGATTTGCTACCCTCGCGTTATCAATCGATAAGGTGTGAGGCAGTAATTGTTGGACGAGTGTAAGCCCATGGAAGATATGATACGATGAGATAAGAAGGTGCGGCTGCTTGATAAGAGGTGCACTCCAGAATGAAAACGGGACGATAACGATAACGGTATCATATCTAGCACGCTCTTATCGCACCCCTTTCCACATCGATAAGTCTTGTTTTTGCTGAACGGAAGTGGATTTCGGCGCCTTATCACTCCGTTGATAAGGCGCCACTGCCACTGAAACTTCACGTGTTCTAACATTGGGCAGGACCCCTATCCACTCCAGTACACAGCTTTCCTTATCGTCCCTATGAAATTATCGTGACCACTTCCTTTAAAGGAAGCGATCACGCTGGCTTCCACGTGGATCGCCGAACTCCGCGTTATCAATCGATAAGGTTGGAGGATAGATAGTGGTTGACGAGCGTAACCCTATGGAAGACACGACAAGATTAGATAAGAAGATACGGCTGCATAGAATGAGGTGCACTCCAGCATGAAAATCGAACGATAACGATAACCGTATCATATCTAGCACGTTGCTATTGCATCCCTTCCACGTCTGATAAGGAGGTGCAACGCCGAACCGGATGTAGGTTTCGGCACATATCGCGCCATTGGACCCCTACCCTATGGCCGATGTCAGACTTTGTGCGATTGGAGCGAATTTTGCACAATTGCAGGAGGACGACATGCGTGATGGTCCCGTTACTGTGAGTGTATTTACGTCTCATTCGAAAACCGCTTAAGACTGGTTGTAAGTTCTGTCTAGTTGCGCGGTGTCACGAAATGACTGTATCCCTGGGGAGCTCGAAGCAAGTTTTGATTGAAATGGGTGAAAGTTGGGCTGACGCTACACAACATACAGGTTAGCAAGTTCCTGTCTGAGATGGGCTCGGGTAGGACCGAAATGAATAGCGCCGACGACAAAAAAATTGGAAACTGATTTCAGAATAGCCCAGGAAACGGGAAAATGGGTATACGTATGCGCCGAATTAGCATCGAATTGGAACTCACCTGCCGGTAAGGGCTTCTCTAATAGGTATGTTCACTAATAAACTCATGACTTGCTTACAAGAAAAAATTGAAGTAGAGCAGCAATGTCTGGGATGTACCAAGCGAAGTTGAAATGAATGTGTGTCCACACACAATGGAGAGAATGTGTCTTATGCAGATTTTTCCACACTTCCTTACGTTTGGTTCCAAATTGGGCCAAAGACGCAGGGGAAGGTGGACCGAGGCTGGCGAAGGAGGAATGGGGCCGATCCCCCTGATGGATGCTGTTCGATGCCTGCACGGGTCTTTACAATTCCGATTCGAGAGATCTACGACATCGGGAAAGAAGTGGTAAGGGGATGGCAGACAAACGGAACTCAAATGCTATCGCAGGGAGGGGTGAGCGTCCAAGTGAGCGAAGCTTTCAATATCAGTCATTTATTCACCAGTTTAGCTCACCACTATAATTTGCATTACACGCGGGCTCCAGCGATATTGAGCAGGGCAACTAAAGTTCCATCTTTAACCGCGAACATGAAACCTTGCAATTCAAAAGCGAGTAGCAGGGACACTGAGAAAAGGGGATAGAATGGGAAATAGCGGGAAGGAGACTAACGAAGGAGAAGTCAAATTTGCAAGCAGGCCTGACATGCACTGAGGTAGGCGCGGTCAAAGTTGACCTTAGTTGCCCTGCTCAATATTGCTGGAACCCAGTGTAAAGCAAATTATAATGTGCGAGCTAAAGTGCGAGCTAAACTGGTGAATAAAGAACTGATTTGAGAACGTGTTTAGTTCGAACTTACGATGAATACTATATAACTAGACGGATCAGCTGGTTGGCTGAAATCAGTAACTACAGCAGGCATAAAAAAACGAAAAAAATTCTTGAGAAGTTATAGGTTTTACCATTTTCTTGGATGGGAACTAGGTGAGCATCCTCTATTGAAGACACAGTCACTGGAAGGGGAACTACTTCCTATTCTCATGTTTGCCTTTTCCTTGGGAGTGACTGCTACGGGAATGGACTGAATTGGAGTTTTCTTCAGTTCTGTCGAAGGTCCACCTAAAATAGTGGATTACTACCATTACAGAAAGACTGTTGGCTCATAGAAAACGAGCAACATACCATTCAAGCACGCTGCACTTTGGCTACATCGCATAGAACCGAACATTTTCTCCAGCTGGTCGACCACTTTTTTACTGGCGACTGGATAAGGCCAAGCAAACTGAGAGTGAAGTCGTGTGAGTGCGTTCGGGAAATTATGTACAAATTTTCGAGAGGAAACAAGTATGCGGGATGTGTCGAGTTCAAGAGCGGAGACAAAGTATCCTGCAATGCGTTTTCCTTTTATCATTTTTTTTAAAAATACGATAAAAAAAATAACCAAGGCGACCCCAACACACAAAAACACAGAACGCTAACCAAATATCTTCTGATCGCAGTGACTCCTCCAGTAAGTGAACAGCATGACTTTCCAAAATTGCGCCCATTTTTTCGGCAACGGGATTAAGTTGAGTTGGAGATGGCGGTCCAATATCATTGGAAGCATGCTGCAAGTCGGGATTCAATTACAACATGGAAGGATAAAGGACCGCTGTACTATATAAAATTAACAAAAAATCGAGTATTCGGTCACTTCCTTTGACTTCTAAACATATGGCAATTCCTCTAATTATGAGATCAATATCTGTATAAATAAAGATAAACCAACCCTATTCACCCGTTTCCCACTTCCCGCCGAGTCCTTACGATTCAGCTCTCGAGTTTCAGCATGCGAATGGCGGACCTTCGCTATTCTGGCACCTCAACAGTTATGAGCATTGAGTTCAGAAGTGTTTTTGTAAATGAAAAAAGTAACGAGTGGGCATCTTAAATAAACCAAACGGTTCGGGCTCATTATTCCAAGGTCTTTCTCCAGAAATAATAAGCTACCTCCAGACGTATCCTGTCCCGCGCCCGCAAAAAAAGTGAGTATTATTCCCAGTGTTTGCTAATAGTAAAAGACTGTTCTTTTGATTCTTTTTCCACACTTGAGCCCTTAAGTTTCTCTACTCACACACGGACGAAATAACAAGTATTTCAATTGGTAAAGGCCTTCAACTCGTGTAAAGAAAGCGAAAAAAACGTCGGTGCTGAACGTGCGCCAAAGTAGACTAAGAAAAAGTGTCTTTATGCAGGTTCAGCGATGGTGAAAATGGAAAAGTCATGCTCACCAGCCTTTGGAAACGCGACGGCCGAAACTAAGTCGTCGGCTCGTGACGCATTTATTGACGTTAGGGGCGATGGGACGACGAGAGGACGATGTCCTCATCGGAGGAGGTGTCCTACAATTAACTTCTGAAGTTATGAGCGGACTTGACGGTTAGACATTTGCTAACTGACCTTGCAGGGCTATCCATATCCTCCGACCCAATGGCACGAGTGAATCGCATCGTACTCCTCCCTCCCCCCGCACCATGTCTTTCGCAATACTCCATTCTCCCGCAGATAATGCTTCTCGAAGAAGGCGAAGAGCTTGCTGAAATAACAATTTCGTCAGGACCACAAAGATTGCCCTTCGTCAAGGACCCACAAAGCATTGGCCTATTTTTTGTAAGTTGCCAAAACGAGACATAAGGAAACTTAATAAAAGACGGCTGAAAACGGACGGCTGTAGGTGGAAGACTAGATACCTTACAAGTGACATCGCCTGATGTAATCAAACACTTTGGATCATTGAATAATCTTTCATACAGGCTCTAGCAATACTAATCGTGATCACCCCGTCCAATCGGTGAATCGCAAAGCCATGCACATTCAACTGACTATAATCTCTAACATGAAATAATCTTCCTCACCTCCTGGCTTGTTTGCGTATTTTCAATGCTTTGCAGTACAATGAGGTAGCTAGCTGCAGTGTGAAGTTGACCATCACGAAGGCACACCTGAACAAAACAAATCAACAAACGATTGAAGTACGTACAATTAGGAAAATCCTTCAAAAAAGGAGCCGAATGGGAGCGAGTGTAATCAAGTTGAAAGAGCAGCATAAGAATACCTCGAAAAGGTCATTAGGAGAGCCCGTAACAGCAAATAAGGACGACCAAAGAGCCAGTTCGGTTTTTCTTGCGCAGTGAGCAACTGTTCGAAGGAATTCGGGGGGGAATGGCCTAAGCCACACATCGAGGAAGTAGTGGATCTGTGAATAAAGTATTTCGTACGAACATGTCTATGGCATGATACTACATATACATCAACTTAAATTGCCTTCATTAGGTGAAAGATTACCAGAATTAGCGTCGCTGCTCGTGGCTTCTTCTTCTAACACACCATGTAGAAGTAACTCAAGAGAGTGAGCAAAATGTGGTAAATGACGACATGCTGCGGCCACCTCCAAAGCAAAGACACCAAGATTACGTTTCAACAGCTGGCGTAGAATGTGGTGCGCAAATACCTAAAGATAAAAACTCATTTAAATATTTCATGAGAGAATTTCAACAACTAGGATTCGACTGCTACATGTATATAGGGAAGCCCACATTCAAATTCAAGGCTTTTTATGCAGAATTAAACATGCATCTACTAATAATAATGCAACAAGCATTAGATTACTTTTGGACATAGACTCACTTCACTATTTCTGTGCAAGCTGTAGAGAGCGGCTGATCTCTTTCCACCATTGTAAAACACAAACGGCAAACTTTCCACACCGATAGCCAGACAGTCGTTTGAACATATTTACTAAAACATTTTCAAATAAACTAATGACCCAAGCTTATAACCATTCAACTAGAAATTGAGGCTGCCTGATCTTTCCAGTTTCTCTGATACACAAACAGTTCATATTAAAACATTGGGATACCTTTATCTAAGGAAGTCTACAGTCATTCAGTACAATAGAAATCAGAGACTGTGTGCACTCTCAACTTCCTGGGTAGCGCAGAAGAGAGGCGGTGTGATTTCTCAAGGGAGGACCGCTTATAAGTTTTCTTCTCAGTTTCGATACTTCAGCTTGTCTTTTCGTGTCTATTCTTTTTAGATTAGCATTATCTCTTTTTCAGCCCAAAGCGCTGTGGGGCCCTAAGACGGGAGGTCAGGAAACCGGGGAAAAATGAAGATTACAACGCGATCCCGGAGTCCCTCTTTCCTGGGGTTTTAATGGTCCGGTGCAACTCCAAGTGTTCTAGCGCACGAACTGTGACTTTGAGCTGAGTATGTCTCGGCTATCGTACTCTAAAAGCGCGATAAGCCCTCCCTGACCATATTTGCATCCTCATGCCTTACTCACCAGAAAAAATCCTTGCAAAAAAGTTGTTGAAAAAACAGTGTTCTGTGGTCAACTTGAAAGAACTATGCGTAAATTTCAGAAAAATACGAAAACCCAGAACTTCTGCCTTTCTAGCATAATTAAGCTCACCTAGGGGACAAATATCCAACTCAAAAGGAAGCATAATTCTTTTTGAAATAAAAGATGTGTCCTGAGAGACGATTCCACGACGTCCTGATATGAGTGGTAACCACACCTAAACAGCAAATTCGTTTCACCACTAAAAAAACCTCATGCTACCATAACTTTGTGCAAGAGTGACCAATAAATACCCGCATTCCTCGTGATCCACAATTGATCCACAGAGCGTTCAGAAGATGTGGAAGACCGGGTGGTTCCCTTGCAGTCAACGCTCGACAATGCCACACTTGTTCCACGAATGAGGCCACCATTATCGGTTGATTTAGCTGAAAACTCGATTAGCTGCCCCAGTAACTGGGTATTTTTGAAGAAATTCTTATAAGCACCTGAAAAGACTCATCAGATGTCACCTCTTTCGATGCTTTATGGGGATTCAATGTTAGCAGTCGTCCCGAAACATTTATAAGCACTGTATCCACACCAGGAAAGAAGAAGGAAGCAGCTAAATGGATAAGGTTAAGGCAGATAACTTGAACAAATCGTTCACTCAGTTAAATGAAAGTGGTCACGCGAGGGAACCGACTCACATGGATCAAGACTCAATTGTGTCAAGTGAATAGACACTAAACAGGCAGGGTGAGTGACAAGATCGCCCACGCGGATTTCAGCGATACGATCCACAGAGATCTAAAAAGTTTTCTTCTTCTTAAATGATAAAAATCTATTGAAATTTCTTTCTTTTGACGCCAATTTAACATCAGGCTAACCACCTACTTTAACAATATCTCCCGCACTCTCCTCGTTTCTCATCAAGCGATGCATAATTATGCGTCCTTCAATGTCGAAAGTTACCAAGGCGTCGCTTCTGGAAATTGTAAATGATCAAGCAAATATTTTTTGCAAAAGCAGTAGGACCTAGCTATGAATCTTGGGAAGGATACCGTAGCATCAAACCAAGGCCTACGTCACATATGTGAAGCAATTCTCTTTACGTAAGCGCTCGAATAATTCTTGTGATTAAATCATATTTACTTATTCAATTGACTGACTGTTCACGACTATGAATGGGGTTTTTATTCAACGCTACTGAAACATGCTGAAACAATAATAATCATCTCACCTTAGAGACATCATAATGACTCGGCATTCGAGTTCGAATATAGAGGCATAACGATTGTCTAGCTTTTTGTTGATGGGATAGAACCGTAACTGCTCACGACAGGAATCCAAATCATAGCAAGCTGTGCCGACCGTGCCTCCCCAAATCAAGACGCCTCCAGTTACCATTAGAGATGACTCCTAAATCAAACAAATCCAAATGTGGAATATTTCTTGGAAGTACTGATCGTAAAGTACGGATAAAAAGCTTCCAACTTTGAAAAATCTCAACCCAAGGATTCACTTACGTGACTTTCGTTGCCGAAGATTTTCCACCTAACCCCTGGAAGCGAACAGTGGGCCAGTCCTCTCAATCCAGCGACAACCAAGTGCTTGGCAGAATCTCGATCGACCGCGGCAAACTTTAAAAATAAATCTCATCACTAAATACGATAACAGTTAACAAAGGTGAAAATTTGAAACTCATTGAACGGTGGCAAGCAACAGCATGTTGCAGAGCAAGACCTGTCCCGTACCCTACCCTACCCTCCGAGCTCTTCTATACACCTTACATTTTACATGTCAGCTAAACAATAATCTGGTCTAGTGACAAGGCTTCCAACATTACATTAGAAACTCATTGAGCGGAAACTGCGTTGGGTCTCAAAATTCACAATCAGACTTCTGAAGGAGATTGTCATCATACCCGTATCGGCCAATTCGAAGCAAGGTATTCGTGGAGCGGATTGACTGCAGTCCAAACAGCATGTGGAGCACTCGCTACTCCTTCTCGTTCCCTATTTGAACTGATAAGTACTCTAGAACTGCAGATTAAGACAATATGATTCGAGTGATCCTGAAAAGAAACCGTTTTCACAGGTACAATATAGTTCTTCAGAAGACAAGTGGACCTACCATAATCGGATTACATAAAGCAGCAGATCTGGCCATTGGCAGGATGGATAATCCATCACTACGCCCTAACCACAGGTGATAACCTTCCGGACCCCAGTCTACAGACGTGTACGACACTGCGGGTGCTCCATCACTGAACAAGTACGGATTTGGGAGAGCATGCTGATAGAAAAATAAAAAATGAAGTGATGGAAAAACCAGGTGAAAACGTATAACCTGTCCTGAATCGACTCCAAAGAGCACCACGTCTGCGTCCCAAAAGGCGTGAATACGGCAAGTGTGGCCGGTAGATGAGAAGAACTAGCATCAGTGCCATTGTTAGTAGATGTCTTTGACGACCAAACAGCCACAAAGGCACCTCCATTCGTCAGCACCTCTATATCAGAAACGCTTCCTACCCGATTGACGACATCTGAAATTACGGTAAATAGAAAAGAAATGGTAAACTCAAAAATAAAATAAAATACCTGGTCCATTTTGCACTTTGAGAGCGACACGGAATGTTTGTACAAGCGAGCCATTGGCATCATCCAAGTGATAAGCCGCAACATCGCCACTGAACGATTTATAATTTCCCCTCAAAATGAATAGTATAGGCTTTAGACACACGTTCGTTTGCAGGCTAATCGTGCTCGACTTCTGAGAGACCGCTGCGCCTTTTAAAAGAACTAGTTGAGGTCAGAAAACTGAGAATAGCAAATGGCGATCTTGAGGCACAAGCGGACCCCGAGTAGGGTAGAGAAGCACTCCATTCTTATAATGCTTGCAAAACCTGGCCCCGCATATAACGATTAACCAATAATGGTGCAAAATTTGAAAGGACAACGAGTTTACGTCCCGTCAATTCAAATGGGCAATTCAAAAAGAAATGGTTAACACGAGTACAAACGATTCCCTTTCGATATTTGTCAACGAAAAGTCGGAACGACACTAAAACTGTTTTGTCAAAACTGTCGCTGACCGCGGAATCCTAAAAACCTACTTGGCGCAGCCGAATGTCAACAAACGAAATTTGTGATTGACATCACTGCATGTTGCGTCTTTCATGTTGAGAGCCCAAACACCAAGAATACTCTATAAAAAGATTGCATATGAAATTTGCAGATCTTCAAATAAGATAAGGTTCGTATTACACTGGGATGAAATCGCGAATCCGATGACGTGAGAAGTGCAGCGCGACCATCCGATAACACTATACAATAACCTCCTACTAGGGGAGCATAAACAGCGTCAACCACATGGGCAGCCGGATCCGTCACGAAGTCAGCTGAAACAATAGTATATTGCACAACTACCTCGCCGAGATTCGGCGTCATTAACTGAGTGGAACTTTCAATTAATCACTTAGACATGAAATAGCTGTTTACAACACCTCATCAGAAATCGCAAAAGACAACTCACGTTTCGACTGCAACTGATCATGCGCGAAAGGCACGGTCGGAAGCCTTATTGAATATTCAGCTCGAACCTGACCCTCCCAAGAAATGTGATGAATGAAGCCATTACGCAAACAAACGAAAAGTTCCTCACGGAGTGGTACACAACTGAAGAAAAACTCTAGATAGGGACGTTAGTTAATGAACGGAGACTGTTCTATAATCACAAACCAAGTTGCTGATGCTGCAAGATTGACTACTACTGACGGTGCTAAGGTGATAGACGGTCGAGGTCCGCGTAGGAAAAGTTCTTGTGAGCAACGCCGAAGTTGCACATCAGGAGGATCAATGAGATTGTAACAGTTTTCGCCAGAAACAACTACTCGATAAATCAGCAGGTTGTTACGTGATGTCTAAATTCAATTTTTATGAATAATTTATGAACAAACAAAGAACAAAAAACACATCTGAAACGTTGCTAAATAAGCTTCTACGTTTGTCACGGCTGGTGAAATCAGAAATGCAAGACTTCCTGGTTTAGTGTCAATTACGAGTATTTTGTCGATACTTTGCACAAGCACGAATTAGAAATACAGGGTGAGGTCAAAAAAGAGTCATTCCAGCCACATTCAAAACGGAGTTAATCACTTTGCTGGATTCAAACCGGACGATCTCAATGGAATTTGGAGAGCACTTTAAAATCTGTTAGAAAAAACTTTACAAGTGCCTTCTACCCGACGACATCAAAAAAATTTATGTAGCAGCTTCAGGTTGGAGCGATTACGGTAAGCCTCGTTGAGCTCGACGGTGACGGCAGATGACGTCATATTCTGAAGACGGTGGGGCAGTGAAGGAGGGCCTGCTTCTGCTTACGGGGAACACCTAAGGAATATTTTGCCGTAAAACTTTCATTAACATCGGCACCCTGTGCGACGAAAAGTTTGATGATGTGCGTCATAGGCAAAGTGACTCTTTTTTGTCTTCCCCTTACCCCTGTAGCACGAAATCAGCCTTTTTAGGGTTTGTCCACATGGATTCAAAAACTGCATCACAAGCTTCTAGGAATGATCTACAATAGGTATAGCATCTAAAGCTGACTTTTTAGTGACTACTATGTCACTAAGAGGTTGAAATGTTGAGAAGGAATCAATTGCGTTACGATTTCAACAAGATGTAATAAATGCTTTCTGAAATATAGAAAAAAAACGTAAAATCCATATCGTAAAAGGTACCGTAATAACAATATGGGAAGAATCATAATTCCAATAGGCTTTATTCAAAGTACCCCTCTCGATAACATCGCCAGCTGATATCCTTAAGGTGCACAACAGAAGGTGAGGCTGAAATAAGTAAATCAAAATATATCCAATGTCTATCCATTTCGTTAGCAACTCAGCTCACATTTCCGTAAGGAATGTCAGCGAACGAGCAATAATTAATTCTGACAATTCGGAGTACAGTCTCCTCGAAACTAGTAGATGCGTGCTCAATATGGACCTCCCTAGCCAACCTATCAGAATCACGGTGTCACAGTTGAAAATTTGAAAAGTTACTTTTAACTTTATATTTCTACCTCAATGAACTTCGCAGAAAGCCACTATACGGACAAGGCTTTCGAGGCAGCATGTCAAAGTGTAAGAAGGACGAGTAAAGGTGAACAGTACAGATAATATCCCGCAGGCAGTGTAAATCTAGTCGCTGTCGTTAAAGCAGGCCAGAGGCCCAAAGTTGGGGAATGTTCCCCGGCCTGGACTGCTCTGCTGCCCCTGTCTCCCATCCATCCCTCTGGATCTCATGTTGAAGTTGAATAGTGGCGAAAAGATGCGTTCTCTGACCACCATTTCCAGAAAAGAGCAATATTAACCCCTGATACATATTTGACGACACCTCTGGAATTTAGTTCGTAGTAATGTTCGTTCTATTCGTGGCCGTGTTCACCCGTGTTGTTATCGACCTTACTGCAAACCATCAGTAAACAGGGTAAAAACGATTCGAGACCAGAGAAAAATTATAAAACCGTAGAAATGTTTGATAAGAAGAATTTTCTAAACAGAAAAATTGGTCACATAATGTATGACCAAGGTTAATTGTAAGAAAAAGCTATGCAACGACTCATCGGCAACACTAAAATTTGGATTTGAAAAGCTAAAACTCACATGAGCAAGCCAGATGTATATACAGTCGGAAGTGACAACAGCCATGAAGAATTTTTCTCTATTAGAAGCAATGCACTTAATAGCGCGGTGCTCTCGAAGATCACCATCTTCTCCAGGCACAGGCAGACGGAATTTCGTCTCGCGATCTACCTGACAAGTGATTAAAGTCAGGTAAAAAAGTGAGAACGATCAAGATTACAGGTACTGCAAAGATCAGACCAAAAAAGGCTTGACGTACCGGGATATACATAATACAGCAAAGCAACTAAAGCATTTAAGTTGAATGAAGAAGAACTTCTTGTTTTACCCTCAGCATCGAAACTGGTTAGTACGAATGAACGCAACTGTTTCTGAAAGTATATACATTAATACATTCTACACGGCATTACGACTAGTATTGATCGAAAGTTTGCCAGAGAGACGAATATAGCTAAGTGTCATAAGTAATGATGCATTGAATGGGCAGAAGCATATGCGAAGTCGTTCTCAACAATTTTTTGAGGTTTCCAAACAACGTTAATTACCCACGACTAAATATAGCGATCAGATTGTTTTCCGGGTCTCATCCAGTAAGGGGGGCATCAAGTGGCTGCCCTCACCCCCCACCCCCTAGACTGCCTACACTCCCCCTGGCGCACAGGTTTCTCGAAGTACGGGACCCCGTGAGCCAGGGGGAGTGAAGGCAGTCTAGGGGGTGGGGGGTGAGGGCAGCCACTTGACGTTGCATCACAATGCCCCCCTTACTGGATGAGACCCTGTTTTCCTATTCCCTTTTATGAAAATCTAATGATTATAACGAAAGCAAAGCCAAAAGGGGAGGTGCTAACTTAGTTGGGAGGGGGACCACGCGGCGGCGCGGCGCTCTGTTCGTCTGCTCCTCCAAGGCTTAGTCCGCCGATGGCGCGTATTTCGAAACTGCCACGTGGCGACGAAATAGTAACTGCCCTTGGAAGCCTTAGAGGAGCAGACGAGCAGAGCGCCGCGCCGCCGCGGTCCCTCCCCCCAACTAAGTTAGCACCAAAGGGAATAAAGTCTCCATCACGAGAAAAGAAGCAGGATGCGTTCTATCGGTACTATGTCGATTCGTGACACACACGTATATGTCTCAACATCAGTTGTTTTGAATCAACATCTTGCTCAGCAGCGCTCGAACGCTCAATGGTGAATAGTACAACAAAACACGACGGTGGCATCTTCCGCAGAAATAATACTATCATTTGACTCTAGCTGAAAACGTGCTCCATTATCAATTCTCAGAAATTATCAAGCAAGTTTATCTGCTTCGTTATAACGTGATAAAATCCCAAAAGCATCCCTACTATATATAAAACGCTATGTCTGTCTGTCTGTCTGTGTGTGTGTGTGTGTGTGTGTGTGTGTGTGTCACGAAATTCATAGCACGCGTCGCAGCAGTCGTTAGGAGCTGATTTTTTGATATGATATAGGGGGTGGGACGGGAACATATTTGGTGGGGGTCACAAAGTGATAACGACTGATAAGAGTAAGAGGCGCTGATAGTGCGCTTCGCAGCAGTCGTCAGGAGCTGATTTTGGGGCATGATATAGGGGGTGGGACGGGAACATATTTGGTGGGGGTCACAAAGTGATAACGACTGATAAGAGCAGATAAGAGGCGCTGAAACACAAATTTCACGAAATTCATAGTGCGCTTCGCAGCAGTCGTCAGGAGCTGATTTTGGGATGATATAGGGGTGGGACGGGAACATATTTGGTGGGGGTCAAAAAGTGATAACGAGAGGACTGATAGGAACGATATGCGTACGAACGTAGAGAGCACTTGAAATAGAAAATAGAGAGCAGATTGTAGATAATGCCTTTCATTTCAATATCATTTCATCAGCGTTGTAATTGTAAACTCAAACACCTTTCGACCGCTACACCTTCTAGAGTTCTTGAGGATGAATGGGATGCTCGAATAAATATGATAATGAATACTAGGCATTCCGTTTTGAGATATTCGACCGCTAAATTACCTCGATACTCGACGCATAGTGGTTGTTTACATCATCACTTTAGCTGTGCACTTCACTGCGCTTATCAAACAGTGAGATACAGCCAAGATGGGCAGCCTATGCAACGGACAGTAAATACATTTAACGAAGCAGCTATAATTTAGCGGTGAAACCTAAAGCTTCATCGATTGTCAGTTCTATCAATGCGCGCGGTAGCGGGCGGAGCTAAACTGGTAGGATAAAGCATTTGCCGTTGATCAATCCCTTTTTGGGATGCGGCACGCATTCTACTTCCATTTGTACATTCGTAGTGGCGTTTGAATGCGATGTGGCCTATACAATGACTTGCGGGGGCCAGCCGATGTACAAGTCAGTGTTTTTATCCTCCCAGACAAGTCTGGTACCAATTAACCGACCCCGGAGGGATGGAAGGCTTGGTTGGCCCGGGCGACTCACGACCCAGGATTTGATCCCCGGACCGCTCGCGTGGTAAGCGTGCCACTTGCCACTACACCACTTCCGCCCTATAACAAGATAAACGTTTGAAAATATATGTATGTCAAGGACTGAGACAGAAGTGGATAAACTCAAGGGATAAGTGTCAAAACACTGGCTGTTCTCGTTTGAGTCTATGACACGCCAGAGGGATAGAAAAGAAGTCAAATCGAACGAGCTTATAAAACGAACACGAATTGGTAGAGGAAAAGAAAAGAACCTGCCAAAGGTTACGGTAGTGATAAGTGGGAGAAAGGTACAACCAGAGGAACTCGTATTCGAACCTTCAATGAGAGCGCTAACTGCAAAAGAAGGGATAAGCTATGGGTGGCAGAGAGCTATGGATTTGAGCATTATTGCGAAAAGCACAAACTTGTGATTCTGTTGTGATTATGAGCGGCACATATCGATTACTACTTATCGAAGGCAGATGAACAAACTCATCGTTGATGCGCAGGCTGTGCCAAACACAAATTATTAGGGCATATTTCCACTTGGATGAAACGTGGAAGTTGTCCAAAAGAAACGCTGTGAACCGAGCACCTGTCTCACAATTAGAATGGGAATCTAGCAAAAAATGTGGATACGAGAAAAACCATTCAAGGCAACGGTGGGCTTGTAGCAGTAACTCAGACTAGTCTAGAACTATGAGGCCATAAAGATGATGGGAATCGATCGCTGATGATGACGTGGATCGAGCGCATCCCGGAAAGCTCATGGAAACGACATTCTTCAATGGGCTGCAAAATTTGCATAAAACCAAAGGAATGCAGTCAAGACAGGCGCCGACTGCTTTCATGGGCGTCGCATAAAGTGTTTGATGTGCAATTGCGCCTGGCGTATGATATTACACGGACCCGACATGCTTGAAATTGGATGCTTATGTTTTATGACTGTCTCGGCTTGGCTTCATAGTTTTTAATGCCATGCGTTCCCGCTCGCGCATTGTAAGCACATCGCTTTCAGGACTCTTGGCAAACATTTTTTGTTATGAATGCTCAGTTTTAGTACCACATTTATTGTTTACGATCGTCCAACTAAACTAAACTGCGGTTTCAGGTGGGCGGAGGGGATGACTGTCGTCCGGATGAGCAATATTCGTTTTTCCCAGTGCTTCTCCTTTTCTAGGCTTAGTCCTCGGGGTAGATGGGGCCACCACGTTTTGGGCTGATTTTGGGCCGCCAATAGTGGACTTCCTCCGTTTGAGAATTCAAAAGTAAGGGACCAGGATATGGTTTATAATGTTGGAAGTTTAACCCG